GAAGAACGTTTGCAGGAACTGTATATGTCTAGTTTAGTAAAAAGAAGGACACAATAGCAGTCTTCCAGTATTTGAAAGGGGGGGGGTGTCAAACTATTACTACTACTGAACATCCAAAACAGCTTAAAAAACAACCCCCAAATAAACTTATAAAGGGCCGGGGAAAAAATGGCCTGAAAATGGCTCGAAAAATGGGGCAGGAATGGCGCCAACCAGAGGTGGAATTAGTCAGTTCGCTGAACTGGGAAGAATTTTAACAACCGGTTTGCTTGAACTGATCCGAACCGGCTATATCCCAACTCTGGTTGTGTGTGATTAAAACATACGAAGAACGAATGGGATTTGGGTTTGGCTATATTTCCGAAGGAGAAGGGAAAAAAAAAACTCATCGGGAAATCTGACTGTGCGAAAAGTCCCCAAAACATGCCATAAAAATTAAAAGCTTAAATGTGCCACCCACGGTGTGACTTAAAGCCCCCCACCCCCACTCCCACCCCCAGTGAGATCAGCCGAGCAATTTAAAGAGAGTCTGCCTGACAATTGTTCTTTTTCTTTTGTTGTTCTCTTCCTAAACCCACCGCGAGGCCAGCCACAAAGTTTTCTCAACAAACATCGTTTCATCAGCAGAAACTCTCGTTTCAGCAAATACCCCAGAAGGCAGCATAAACCTTCAAAAGAAATGAGCAAATGCAAAGAAATCCCCCCTTTTTCCCCCTCTCTTTTCCTGATGTTCTCCACTTGTGAGGCCCACGCTGTTGTTCCCCCTCCTACGGCGTGCACTGTTTGTGTGTCTCCACCAAGGAACGCACACTGCAGTCGATGAAATCTCTGGAACATCTGGACAGAAATAGGCAGCTTTGACTCCCTCCCCAGCTGTTCTCTCCGTGGGAAATGGCAGCCGTTTTTGACTTGGCGGGACGCAGCCGAGGGACGCAGCCGAACGACGCTTGAATTTTGTGTGTCATCTTTCTGTCCGCCAACTCTCTGTAGGGAAGGTGAAGATGAGTCCTCTTTCCCGAAGCGTCTCTGGTTGCGCCTCGTTTCCTCCCGTCCGAAAAATACCACGCGGTTGATTTAGGACAGAGTTAAGTTTCTTGGTTATATCTGAGCCCTTGGGGATTGTTTTTTACTTCTCTCTCACCCAAATTAAATTGTAAATTTAATAAATTTATATGCCGCCCAATCCCGAAGGACTCTGGGCGGCTTACATAAAAGAATACAAAGAAGAAAGAATGAAATAGAGAAAACAGCAAGTTAAAAACACATCATGCACTCAGTCTTAGCGGGGCTGGACCTCAGTCATGGCGCTAGGGATTTGAACCGCCGAACTGTCAACCTTTCTGATTGACAAGCTCAGCGTCTTAGCCACTGAGCCACTGCGTCCCTTCCTCAAGAAAGAGTGATGCAGTGGCCTAGAGGTGGGGCTATCGCCTCACAATCAGGAGGCTGTGGGTTCAAATCCTAGGTGGAGGCAGATATTTCTCTCTTTGGGCACAATGAGAATCTATATCTGCTGAACAAAACTCCGCATTGGCGACAGGTAGGGCAGTTGGCCAGTAAAGACTCATCTCCATTCAGTTGCCCCCACTCCACCCCGCAAAGAATTATGAGGTGGTTAAAAGAAGATGATTCTTCCTCAAGAAAAATAAGACAGATAAAGAGAGCGATTGTCTGGTTGACGGTCACAAGCCAGAATGAAATCATGTTTTGTGATTGAGGGAGTTCTAAAATGGTGTAGGATCACCTGCCTACGCAGGGGGTTGGACTAGAAGACCTCCAAGGTGCCTTCCCAACTCTGTTGTCCTTTTTGTTGCTTCTTATTTATTATTAAACTCAAACTCTATAATTAGTTTGCTCTCCCTTTTAACACCCCACCCAAACATTCGATTAAGAGCTAGGTGCGTCTGGCAGATAATTCTGCCAAACCCAGGAAGGAGTTCCTTTTTTAAAAATAAAATAAAATAAAAGCAAGTGATTATTACTGCTCCCTCCAACTGGTCTGAAGACCCACGAATCAGAAACAAACGTTCACAGACAATTAGCTTCCCAAGCCAGCAGGGAAATTGTCTCTGGGGCTGAGAGAACCAAAACAAGTTTCGCAGCTGCTGAGAGGCGTTTTCTTATTTTGGAGAGAAAAACATATGAAACGCGACCTCCCATCTGTGCAACAGCTACCAGATCTCCACCATAAATAGTGCACAGCTCCCACCGTCCCAGGGACCGAAAAGGGAGGCCCCCTCGGCACTGTTGAAATTGTGGTCCATGGGATGGTACCCTCTGCAGGATAGAAAACGCTCAAATTCTACTTTCCTACTGGAAGTTAATTGATTGCCCCCACGAAAAGCATTTGGGATGAGAAATGACCATGCAGAGCAAAGTTTTAGCACGGACCACCAGTTAATGGGTTAGAAAGGGAACAAAAGTGGGGGGGGGGGAGAAGGGGAAAACAGAAAATATTAAATATCTAAGTATACAGCGAAAACGAGATATAAAGGGGAGGAAAATATAGCTAGGATAGATTCGCGAAGGTAAGGGAATAAGAAATGATATCAAATTATATTTGGGTCTGTGGAAATACCATATACCAAGGAAATATATACCGAGTCCAGAAAGAGACACCTACAATAATAGAAAAGAACAGTTATAGAGACTAACTTGATTTTGCATTTAATAACAGCAGCAAGACTGTTGGTGGCGCAATTATTGGAAGAAGGAAGATTTGCCTACTATTCAAGAATAGACATTAAAAGTAACAAACTTAGCAGAGATGGCTAAAATATCAGCATATCTCAAGGACCATTCAGATGAGAAATATAAGATGGAGTGGAGAAGATAGATTGACTATATTCAAAATAAATATGGGACTAAGAAACTCCAGATAGTTTATGACTGAAGAAGCAAGGCA